GTTATTAGATCCCTAGGGGTCTGTTCATTTATTTTTTGTTCAAACCAAGTAAATTCATTTGACTTGTCCTTCAGTTCACTTATTACTTTCACTGTCACTCAACTCTGTAGTTCATCTAACAAGTTTTTATTAATTTATGTTATTATTTTTTTCAGTTTTATAATATTCATTTGGCTCTTTACTATAGCTTCTAATTATTTGTCAAAGTTTTCTATTTTTAAAAATTTGTTTAATAAGAATTTTAGCTATTTGGATTATTTTCATGATAACTATAATTCTTTGCATACAGTTACTGTGTAATCCTTTGCACATAATTCCATCACCCCAATGTTTGTGTCTCTTAATTGTCTCTTCTCACTTAAATTGTTTGCCTGATTCTTGGTATGATGAGTAATTATTATTATTTTTTTTTATTCTGGACATTTTAGCTATTATGTTGGGAAACTCAGAGTCCTATTTAATTTTGTCCTTGTTATTGTTATTTTAGGAGACAATTACACTGTTTACCTGTAATAAACAGGTATTGGCCTTCCTTTGAGAGCTACTTTTTAGAGTCATTGTGCTACTATGTTGTGGTTTATCTCATGTCATTGGGGTTCCCATGTTTCCTCCTGGTGCTGCTTGAGGATTAAAGAGAGTTTGCCCAGTCTGGGAAAGCTGGTGCCTCTTGATGGTGAAATGGAGTCTCCAACCCATGAACATAAGTGATTCTTAGGCAAGTACTGGTGTTGCAGGCTGTTAATACCTAGGCAGAGGAGGGTAACTTCAGACCCACAGGGACAAAAAGGCTTTCTTTTTTAAACATCTTTATTGGAGTATAATTACTTTACATGGTGTGTTAGTTTCTGCTATAAAACAAAGTGAATCAGCTATACATATATATATATCTCCCGATATCTCCTCCCTCTTGTGTCTCCCTCACACCCTCCCTATCCCACCCCTCTAGGTGGTCAAAAAGCACCGAGTTGATCTCCCTGTGTTATACGGCTTCTTCCCACTAGCTATCTATTTTACATTTGGTAGTGTATATATGTCCATGCCCCTCTCTCACTTCATCCCAGCTTACCCTTCCCCCTCCCCATGTCCTCAAGTTCATTCTCTATGTCTGCGTCTTTGTTCCTGTCCTGCCCCTAGGTTCTTCAGGACAATTTTGTTTTTGTTTTTTTTAGATTCCATATATATGTGTTAGGATACGGTATTTGTTTTTCTCTTTCTGAGGCTTTCTAATTGAGTGCTTTTTTGCTTCAGAATCCTCTTTCTTGCTTTTCCCCCATCCCTCTGCCAGCTGCCTCGTAACTCAGGTGGAGAAAGACAGCTTCAGGTCCATCAGGAAAGGATAGCACTTCTAGGCTAGGGTTCCTTATTGTAGCAATATCTCATTGCCAGTCCCCCAGCCACATGATGTCCTTGAGTCAAGGATGAAAGTTGTCTACAATTTTGCAATAAATAAATAATGATCTCTCCTTACTGTAAAATAAATTTATAATTTTCTTGTAACACAGATAGTTTTAATAAGATCCCCAAAGAGTTACCTAAAATTTTAAATGGAGAATAAATTTTAGCATCTTTAACAATTATCCACAGTGTTTTTCTTTTGACCATTGTTCTTAGGGTGTCCAAAGAAGTCAAACTGTCCTCTTTTTATAATTAAATCTATTCTATATATTTTCCATTTTTACTTAGCACACTGAAGTTCTTAGAATTCCTTATTGGGCATCTACAACATATATTCAAGTTCTTACCAGGATTGTTTAGGGAAAACTAAAATTAATTGTATGCTTTAAAAATAGCTATTGCAGCTGGTGCTTTCTCTGTATATTAGATAAATTGTGCTTAAAAAGTTCTGTGCCTCTTCAAATTTAACGTAGACAGGGTTTTTCTGTCTACTTTTAGGGTAACTATACCAAAAAGATGTGATCATGTGAGACCAACATCTCGAACAGCTCAGTAGCAAAATAATGCATCAACAGCAATAAGAAACATAGCCTTATTCTTGTAGGTGCTACTGTAGATTGTGATGTATTCCAGTGATTTAAGACCTCCCCAGTACTCATAAAAACTTACACAAGTGAATTACAATTTGTTGATTTTTCAGTATCACAACTATATCATAGTAGATTCATCACACCTTAAAACTAAAATCAGGACTGTTTACCTGGTACAGGATCTCAGTGATATTCTGCTAATGAGATATTATATTTTTCTACAAAAAAATAGAACAGTAGAGTTTCTAGAAGTATGAACAAGCTACTTGTTTTTCTCAAGATACAAACACAAACCATTTTTGCTCATATGAAAAGACAAATGTAATATACATGCATAATGGCAGCCCAAATTTCAAAGCAAGGAAAAATGTCAAGATAGAACAATATTAAGAGAGATAATTTCAATTTCTTGATACTTTTGTTCATTTTACAATCAGAAATATTATGATAGATTCAAATTGGTAAAATAGAAAATAGCATAATAGATCTAAAATTTCAAAGGCTATTTCTAAACATTGCTAATTTTTCATAAATGAGCAGTGGAAGCATCCATTTTGAGAGATGTTGATTGTTTAATGATAAATATAAAAATGTTTGAGATCATACTTCCAAATATCATAACTTCCATTTCTGTAAAAATGCATCAAGTACCTAATGTGACCAACATTGAACATATTTTCTTATTGTTATTTTTCATGCATGTACTTGAATTGGTACAACATCTGAGTAAGATACAGTCTAAGTTTAAGGGCAAGAAATTTGACAGTGGAGAAAACAATTTAACAATTGCAGAGTTCCCTCTCCCTAAAGGCATGAGTAAAACCCTAAACAGGAAGTTTCCTTCTCTCATAAGTTTATACATTTTCTAAATGGGAATACAGATGTTAAGCAAAAGAATAGGTAGAGATAAATGTTAAAGTAAAAACAAATTGGGGAAGTGTCCTAAGACAGACTTGAGGGGAGAGGTCTTTAAGGTAGTCAGGAAAAGACAGGACCTCTAGAAGAAGTGAAGTTTTCCCAGGACTAAAGGTAAAAGCTTTCAGTAATTTATTAAACTTCTCTTAGTCTTATTATTTGCTTGAGAAAGAAAAAAATAGTACGTGCCTTGCTTGATTATTGAAAGAATCAACCACAACTCAAATAAAGTGGCTGGATGCACACTGAATAAGAGGAACTATTATCATTATCATTGAAATTAGTTCTTTCACTTTTGATCTCAGCTCTCCATCTCCAAAATAAAGTCATTCAGGAAGGTGATTAATTGTGAATTTCACTTTAGTGCAAACAATCTTGGACTCTGTGAACTAAAAACAGCACAACATTTTTTTTGTCTTTGCTCTCAGGGAATAAAAGAAAAATTACTCAAATGATGTACTGATATAGTTAATTCAACACCAATTCAGTTGCAAGAATCTATTGAATACCAGCTATATCCATAGCACTTTACTAGGTGTGATTTATCCAATCATGAATTTCTTTTCTTTGGTAGATAAAATTTCTGCTTTTAAGGACACTCTTAGTTAGCCAAAGTAAAAAAAGAAAGAATGGTATGTAAACCAAGATTTGCTGCTAATTCATGCATTTCTCTAAGCTTCTGCCTCTGTAAAATGGTTATAGTCCTAAGCTTAAATATCTAAGGTTGTTCTAAAGATTGACAATAGTAAAAGCTAAAGTATCTCTTAAAGAGAAAACACCTACAAATGTAGTGTGTGCCTTGATAGAAATGAAAATAAAGGACCTTGCCTTGCTCCCTTTTCTATAAGAATGAGCTAGAACAACAGTGTCTTAAATGTCTTGACACCTTGGTTGCACATGGTCTATCACTGTCATAATAAATTTAATTTAAAAAATTAATGACAATTGTAGAAATAACACATGAATGCATTTACCTTTTCCAACTTAAAAGACAAATGCATTTAAATCTCCCTTGGACATTTCTTTTCCAATCCAGTTCTCCCTTCCCTCTACCTCAACTGCCTAGAAGTCATTTCTAATATTAGGTTAGTTATATATATACCTTTAGATATTTTTCTCCTCAAAAACATACATATGTGTCCAAAGAAAATGATTAGTATTGTTTTGTTTTGTAAAAATTTTTCTACAGTTACTTTTTTTAGTCAATGATATATTGTTATTGGGAATTAAACTTAAAATAGTTGACTAAAAGAAATCAGTCATATTAATTTACAGTTGTATGTCATATATGACAATACAAAACAAACAATGATGAATTTTGTTTATAAGTACTCTGTTGAAGGAAAAAAATACCACAGTAGGTATAATCTTTAGAAGCGCTATTTTCTCGTTGTCCAGTTTGACATTCATTCTGACTCTGGTTAATAAAAATATAAACCACTACAAGTAGCTAGTTCTATATAGTTTCCTTACCTTGAATAAAGTAGTGTTTTGACCTTGAGATCATACAACATACTGATAACTTTTGTACTGAATAAATATTAAATTAACTGTGGCTCTTAGACAAATTTAATTAAATTTTTTGAAAATTAAAAATTCACACAATCTCAATCTATTTGAGGTAGAGTTTTCAAAGGATTTAATGCACACTTTTAGACTACAAATGACTATTCATTTTATAGTATTGTCACAATAGTATGTACATATAATCAGAGGAGCTTTTCCTTGAATATGCTAAAATGCCATATGTTACCAGATTTGAGAGAAGATGTTAAGCAAGCAAATGACAAAGAGAAAGGACAAATGGACAAGTTGATTAGTGCATAAATTGATTCTACCAGTTAACTAATGGAAAGGCATAAATAGGTAATTATTGTGATTAGATCACCTGTATTTATCAAGCTCTTGCTCCTTTTTAAAACATTTGTTTTTGTGATATGACTTTCTCATGGTTTCCCCCTTTTTTTGTCTGACCACAGTTTTCTGCTTTCCTTATATGACAATACCTTAAATGTTGTGGTTACTTAGGATTTCCTCTCATCTTTTCACCTTATATACACTCCTTGAGTGATGTCATTCACTCTTATAGCTTCAGTTTACATCTATATGCTTTCTCTACTTCAGCTCTGTTTTCTAAGCTCTGAATCCATACATATGATGCTTCCTGAAAGAAATCTCTTCTTGGATACCTCACATGAGAAGAATTGAAATTATACAATTAAACTATGTAACAGTCCCCTCTCATGATCCGGTATGAGCCAGTTCCAGCAGCACAGCTGTCAGATGTCACCTGGATTACCCATGACTATCTCTGGTCTTGCACATCTCTCATATGTTCTCTAATAAGCTTGAATGATCCTTTAGCATGGAAATATAATATTATTTTTCTGCTTAATATCTCCAAAGTTTCCCTTTGACATTACAGTAAAATACAAACTCCTTAACATATCTTGTAAATCTCTCAAGAATCTGTTCTCTGTAGCATCTTTTCCCCACTATTCTCATCACCACAGATACACAGTAAGTGTGTACTATGAATTCAGTTCTTTGGATGTGTCATACTTGTTTCTGTGAGAAATTCACCACGTATCTTATTCCCTGTACCTGGAATAGTTTTCTTGACATTCCTCCAATTATTCCAACCTCTTCTCATTCTTCAGACCTCAGTTTCCTCTAAGAAGCTTTAATTTGCATGTACTCACTCCTTTCCTACCACTACCTACTTTGTGTTTATTTATTTATTTATTTTGGCTGCATTGGGTCTTCGTCGCTGCACGCAGGCTTTCTCTAGTTGCAGCAAACGGTGGGCTTCTCAATGCAGTGGCTTCTCTTTGTTGTGGAGCACAACAAAAGTACACAGCCTTCAGTAGTTGTGGCACACGGACTCAGTAGTTGTGGTGCATGTGCTTAGTTGCTCCACGGCATGTGAGATCTTCCCAGACCAGGGATCGAACTCGTGCCCCCTGCATTGGCAGATGTATTCTTAACCATTGCATCACCAGGGAAGACCCTACTTTGTGTTCTTTCCACATTCTTCCAAGGAAACTTCTGCAGTTATACAACTGTGAGAATTTAATTTGGGGTGTAATATATGTTATACTAGGTAATGTATCTATTTTTATCATATTGTATTCCCAATGCTCAACACAGCATCTGACAAATAATGGACAATCAATAATATTTGTGAAATAAACTAATAAATAAGTGAATTAGTGGTGCAAGTTTCTTTTATATACATATTGATTTAACCTTCAAAATCACCTTGCATCACAAGTATCACAAGTATTGTTTAATTTCCAAACATCTGTGTTATTGATTTCTAATTTAATTATGTGACTGGATTCTAATTTAATTAATTCCATTTTGGTCAAAGAACATGCTTTTCATGAGTTTAATCCTTCAAAATTTATTAACACTTGTTTTATGGCCTAACATATGATATAGTCTGAAAAAAATGTTCCATATGCACTTGAGAAGAGTAAATTCTGATGTTGGTGAGTAAAATATTCTATAGATACAAATTAGATCAAGTTGTTTAACAGTATTGTTCAAGTCCTCCATATTCTTGCTTATTTTCTAGTTGTTATTTTATTAATTATTGAGAGTGGAGTACTGATGTCTGCAACTACTGTTGATGAATTGTCAATTTCTTCCTTAATTCTGCTAATTTTTTGTTTCATGTTTTTTGGGGCTCTATGTTCAGTTTATGTATGTTTATAATTATGCTATCTTCGTGATGAACTGACCCATTTACCATTATAAAATGTGTCTATTCCCAGTAACACCTTTTTGTCTTAAAATCTATTTTGTCTGATATTAGCATAGCCATTCCAGGTCACTTATGGCTACTGTTTGCATGGCATGTTTTTTCATTCCTTTCATTTTAATCTATTTGTTTCTTTGACACTTTATCCACATACATACACAATGTGTATATTTTATAATATATATATAATATATGTTTTTTCCAGTCTGATAAGCTCTACATTTTGATTGCAGTATTTAATCATTTTATATTTAATGTAATTAATGTCATTATTGGATTTACATATCATTTATCTATCAATTTTCTTTTCATCTCTTTTTTGTTCCTCTGTTTTTCCTCTACTGCCTTTTTTTATGTTACATAGATATTTTCTAGTGTGTCTTTTTAATCGCTTTTTGTTTTCACTTTACATTTTTTAATTATTCTCTCATTTTCTTAGCATGTCTTAAGTTGTTCTTGAAATTGAAAAATACATTGTAATTTTTAAAAATTTATATCTGCTGAATGCTAACTTAATTTAAATAGTATATAGAAACTTTCCTCACTTCCCTGCCCCTCTTCTATGTTATCATTGTGACACAAATGGCAGTTTTATGTTTTAAGCCCAACAATACAATGTTACAGTGTTTTATGTAGCTGCCTTTTGAATCAATTAAGAGTAAAATACTGTCTTTTATGTTTTTCTGTGTAATTATCTTCATTACTACTTTATTTCTTTGTGCTTATTTGAGCTACTACATATCAGCTTGCAGAACTTCCTTTAGTGTATCTTGTAAGGCAAGTCTGCAAGCAACCAAATTTCCCAATCTTTGTTTATCTGGGAATATCTTTATTTTGGTAGGTAAGCAGTTTTCTTTTTTAAATTTTTTTCCAGCACCTTAAAAATATCACCTCATTGGTTCATTCACCAATGTGAATGATGAGAAGGCAGCTACCTATCTTATTGTGGTTCCCTTGTATGTGATGGGTCATTTTATTTCTTGCTTCACCCAAGATTTTCTCTTTGTTTTTGATAATTTGATCATAGTGGGTCTAGTTGTGGACCTCTTTGAGTTTATCCTTCTTGGATTGCATTAAGCTTCTTAGGTATATAAATTAATATTTTTCACCAAATTTGGGACATTGTTGGTTATTATCTTTCTGATAATTTTTCTGCCCCTTTCTCTCTCCTCTTTTTGGTGTTCCTATTATGTGTATATCAGTATAATGATGGTATCCCACAGGTCTCTCAGAATCTGTTCATTTTTTTTCTTCATTCATTCTGTTGTGCAGATTGGATAATCTCTATCGATTTATCTTTACATTCCCTGATTCTTTTTTTTTTCTTTTAACATCTTTATTGGAGTATAATTGCTTTACAATGGTGTGTTAGTTTCTGCTTTATAACAAAATGAATCAGTTATACATATACATATGTTCCCATATCTCTTCCTTCTTGCATCTCCCTCCCTCCCACCCTCCCTATCACACCCCTCTAGGTGGTCACAAACCACCTAGCTGATCTCCCTGTGCTATGGGTCTTCTTCCCACTAGCTACCTATTTTATGTTTGGTAGTGTATATATGTCCAAGCCACTCTCTCACTTTCTCACAGCTTACCCTTCCCTCTCCCCATATCCTCAAGTCCATGCTCTAGTATGTCTGTGTCTTTATTCCCATCCTACCCCTAGGTACTTTATGACCTTTTTTTCCCTTAGATTCCATATATATGTGTTAGCATACAGTATTTGTTTTTCTCTTTCTGGCTTACTTCACTCTGTATGACCGACTCTAGGTCCATCCACCTCACTACAAATAACTCAATTTTGTTTCTTTTTATGGCTGAGTAATATTCCATTGTATATATGCACCACATCTTCTTTATCCATTCATCTGTTGATGGACACTTAGGTTGCTTCCATGTCCTGGCTATTGTAAAAGAAGCTGTAATTAATATTTTGATACATGTCTCTTTTTGAATTATGGTGTTCTCAGGGTATATGCCTAGTAGTGGGATTGCTGGGCCATATGGTAGTTCTATTTGTAGTTTTTTAAGGAACCTCCATACTGTTTGGCTGTATCAATTTACATTCCCACCAATAGTGCAAGAGTGTTCCCTTTTCTCCACACCCTCTCCAGCATTTATTGTTTCTAGATTTTTAATGATGGCCATTCTGACCGGTGTGAGATGATATCTGATTCTTTCTTCTGCCGACTCAAACGTGCAGTCAAGACCATCTAGTGAATTTTTCATTTTCAGTTGCTGTTCTTTGTAACCTCATAATTTCTATTTTTAATAATTCATATCTCTTTGTTTATTCTATACTTGGTGGGTCTTTGGTATTCTAAATTGTTTTAATTATTTACAATTATTTTTCTTTTGTTCTTTGAAGATATTTATAATAGTTGACTGAAAGCCAGAAACTTTTTATATTGATTGCTTTTTTCTCCCTATAGGTCAGTTTCCTTTTTCTCTGTTTGTTTCATAATTTTAAGTAAAGACTCGACATTTTAGGTAAGTTATTGTAGCAACTCAGGATTCTGATGTCCCTCATTTTTTGTCTTAATTTGATTGTTTGTTAGTGACTTGCCTGGACTAGTTCTGTAGAAAATGTTTTCCCTACAGTATACAAACACTAAAATCTCTGACTACTTTTAAAAATTCTTTATTATTATTTTTTAAAAATACTGTTTCCTAAATAGAGCTTAGTGGTCACTTAGTGATTGGGAAAAACTTTTTCTTTAAACATTATAAGCCAGTAATGCTTCCACTATTTGCTGAGGGAATCTGTGTATGCATTGTGGCACACATTCAAAGTTTAGGCAATTCAGTCGTTTGCTTTGACTTTTCCTTTCTCCTTGTAAAGTGTCTCATGGTCTGCTAGGTATGATTAACTGTGATCATCTCCCTTATTTCCTGGACATGTATTCAGCCCTGTACATAAACATAATGTTGCACATGAACACAGCCTTCTAGATTACTAGGAATGCATTGAAGCTTTTCCCTAGATCTCCCTGTTAAGTTTTTTGCTGATCCCTTTCTTGTCCCAACTAACATCACATTATTAGTCAGCTGAGATGATGCTTTTTCCCCCATTATTTGCAACCAATTGTTATTGTTTTTGACAATGCCCCTGGGAGTGGATCTTCTCCATGGAGACTCAGACAAAATGAACCCTGACAAAATTGTACAGTTACAAGTTAAAGCACCACACATCCTGCTGTCATTACCAAGATTGAGTCATTTATCTTGCATATATTTTTAAGTTGTTTTATGCCTTTAGTTAATTTTCAGAGTTCTGAAGTTGTTATTTTTGGTAATCTGATAACTTGAGGATTTTAATTGTTCCTTTTGGGGGGAGAGGATTTGCCATGGTCCTAATTCCACCATTCCAGAAGACTTAATATACTTGCAGGAATTTTGAAGCATAAGCAATAAGTTTCCAGATAAATATTAAGAGAAAAAATCATCCTAGATAGTGGAAACATGAAATAGGTACATGAAATTATACAGTGGGTTTAGATAACAACAAACCATTTACTGAAAGCAGAGAATAATGAAAAATAAGGCTCACCAAGTATACAAGATGTTACATATCATGTTAAGGAAGTAAGATATAATTCTGTAGGTATTCAAATGTGAATAAAGAATTTTGAGCAAGTGAATAAAATTTGTTTAGAAAAGTCACTTTGATATAGAATTCAAGTGTATTGGAAAGTGATAAGATTAAAGAAAGGGAGAAGAGTACAGAGGCTGTTTTAAAATTCTGACTGAGAAATGATGTTTTGAACTAGGACTGGGACAGTGGGGAGGTGGTTAAACATAAGAAATGTTTTATGTTTCAAGGATAGTATGGAAGGAACTAATTATCTAACAGTGGAAGTTGAAATCTAGCAAGAAAACAAAGTTAGGATTCCAAGATGCAGTTCAGTTCAGAGAAACTGACTATATGGTACTATTATTTTCTTGTACAATCTTAGTAAACAGTTTAGGAAAAAGAAAATGAACATGGTAACATGATGATTGGTACAACGTTTTCTATAAATACCTGTTTTCACTGAGCACACATTCATTTTGCTCATGAACATTCAACCTCTTCTGAATTACTTTATAATTAATAAACCTGTTGTTAAAATTATAAAAGGTAAAATATAATAGGTTTAAACATGAATATAAAAATCATGTCAGTCAGTAGTTGATTTTTTCATTCAGCCAGTCAACAAGTATTTGAATGCAGAGAAAATATAAACTGATAAATGAAGGTACCTGTATTATGCTCTTAAATATATAATTTTAATATAAACAGATGCAGATATATCTCAAGTCATTAAAATTTGTTTAAAAATATTCTGTTGTCTGAAAATAAGAAGAGAAAAATTTAGGGAGATAAATTCATAGAACTCAGGGGAAAAAATCTAATTGTTTTTTCAGTGTAAGGAATATGCTCTATCTTAGCATTTACAGTTTCAATAAGTAATAAATCTTTAATAATATAATTGAATAGAACTGGATGTCTTAAACACCAAATTTGAGAAATTTGCTCTCAGAAAAACTAATAAATAAGTAACCATGCCTGAAAATTGGCAAATTCTATCAAGATTGCAGGAAGCTCATTTCCTATCAGCCTAAATATAATTAAATTCTGAAAAATCATTAGATATCTTGTTGTGGAGAATAAAACTAGATTATGCAAAATCCTAAAGTGTTTGTGTCTCTATTTTTGCTTTGTAAATAGGTTTATCTGTACCATTTTTCTAGATTCCACATATATGCTTTAATATATGGTATTTGTTTTTCTCTTCCTGACTTACTTCGCTCTGTATGACAGACTCTAGGTACATCTGCAGAGAACAAATGTATGGATAGCAAGGGGAGAAAAGAATTGGCGTGAATTAGGAGAGTGAGATTGACATATGTACAGTACTATGTATAAAATAGATAACTAATGAGAACCTACTGTATAGCACAGGGAACTCCACTCAGTGCTCTGTGGTGACCTAAATGGGAAGGAAATCCTAAAAAGAGGGGATATATGTATACATATAGCTGATTCACTTCATTGTACAGCAGAAACTAACACAACATTTTAAAGCAACTGTACCCCAATAAAAAAATTCCTAAAGTGCTTACTTTATAGGAATATGCACACACTGACAGTGACAAAGTCTGTATGATGTGTTTTCATGTTTTTCATATGTATGAAAATTCCCTGCTAGTGACCCAAGGTTTATTTTCAGTTATTAAACATTAGCAATTTTTGATAACAAAAAATAGAAATTTTAATTTAACATGTAAGACAGCTTAGCAATAAAAGTAATTTAAAAATACAGTGTTGTCAACTAAATTTTATATGGGCCAATTCTTTCAACTGAAAAGTGAGAGTGCAAGTTTCCCCTTTTCTCAATTAATAATGCTAATTCCAGTCTTCATTGATACCATGCTTCTGCTTTCCTAAAGATTTAGTTGATATCAGCAGTTAATGCTTGGTTTGTTCTTTAAGACTGTGATGAAACTCAAAGCAAATGAATAGTTTCAAAAACTGCATGCTAATTATGTTAATAAATGATTTGAAATGATTGATACTATTAAAAGCTATGAATATGCTTTTAACAATCAAAATATGCATTTAAGTTACAATTGAGTTTCCATGTAGTGGGGGGAGATATTGAATGGTTTTCATTACATTTATTGGATATACAATACACTGCTTTGAATCTTTATCCATTTTTCCCTCTTAGTTCCAAAAAGTACTGGCAATTATTCCATAATAAATTGGCTATTTAATCAGTTCTAGTTTATTAAAGTACAAAGATGCAAGAGTCTGAGTTCACTGAAATCATTTCTTTGATATGAACCTCAGCTATCTGGGACCAGTATCCTGTTTTCTCATCCTGAGTGTCCTCAGGTTGCACCATAGGGGGTGGCTGAAGTCTGGTGACTGCTAGATGTTGGACATTCTATGTTTCCTTCCTGAGTTCCCTCAGGGTTTGCCATTGGAGCATGTGGTAGCTTCATGGCTGCAACATCCTTTGTTTACCAATATGGCAGGCAGCATTCTTAGTTCACAAAGGGCTAAATAAGATAATATATGTAATCCTTTTAGCACAGTGTGTGGCACAAAAAAATAAACAGTGAATGTTATCAATTACTTTCATGGATGCAATATATCCTCTAAAACTCTCTATGTTCAATAATTTTTAAAGTTCTTTCTCTTCCTTAAATTAACTTTGTGTCTTCTACTATAAATAATTGTGATGTTTTAAAACAAAGTATAATTGATTTACAATATTATATTAGTTTCTAGTATACAACATAGTTATTCAATATTTTATAGATTATACTCAATTTAAAGTTATTAAAAAACAATGGCTATATTTTCCTGTGCTATACAATATATCTTTGCTTCTTATCTATTTTGTACATAGTAGTTAGTATTTCTTAAACCCATACCATTATCTTGCCCCTCTCCTTTTCTCTCTTTGCACTGGTAGCCAGGATTTTGTTTCCTATATCTATAAGTCTGTTTCTGTTTTGTTATATACATTTGTTTGTTTTACCTTTTAGTTTCCATATATAAGTTTTAACATATGATCCAGCATTTATACACTTGGGTATATAACCAAAGAAAAGGAAACACTAATTCAAAAAGATACATGAACCACAATGTTGGTAGCAGCATTATTTACAATAGTCAAGATATGGAAGCAACCTAAATATCCTTCAACAGATAAATGGATAAAGAAGGTGGATAGATAGATAAAATGGAACATTACTCAGCCATAAGAAAGAATGAAATTCTGCCATTTGCAAATATGTGTATGAACCTAGAGACTATTATACTTAGTGAAATAATTCAGACAGAGAAAGACAAATACTCTATGTTATCAATTATATGTGCAAACATTGTGTTTTAATATTAGAAATTCTTATTGTGCTGCTAAATTACCCCAAACATCTGGTAAGCTTGGTACTCCAAGTTTATTTATTTTTATAGTTTGTAAGTATTTATTTTTGTATGAGATAACTCACTGAGCTAACCTGTATTTTTCTTTCCCTTGTAGGCTCCTCTCATGAAGGAGGTAGCTAACTACCAGTTCTGTGCATCTAACCCAGGCATGCAGTGGGTGGATTTATTTTGTACATGTTAATAAAGAGTATGCCAAATTTTTGTATGGGCCAAATCTGGGAAAATAGTTTCCACATTAGGGGCCCAAGATCATCTCAAGGAGACTGTTAAATTTCTTGGACAATATCTGCTTTGTTTCATCCCAAAGGCAATTACATTGCATCATGGAGATATGAGTGGAAAAGAGGGAGATTTACTCATGCTGCTCTTCAACAGTCTTTCAAACAAATATTCCCAGCTCTTGAAGTCTCTACTGAGAGCCCAGACCTTGATATTCTACTTTTTTCCTCTTTATTTATTTTTTTATTTATTTAACATCTTTATTGGAGCATAATTGCTTGAAAATTGTGTGTTAGTTTCTGCTTTATAACAAAGTGAACCAGCTATACATATACATATACCTTCCCTCTTGAATCTCCCTCCCACCCTCCTTATCCTACCCTTCTAGTTGGTCAAAAAGCAGCAAGCTGATCTCCCTGTGCTATGCACTGTTTCCCACTAGTTATCAATTTTGCATTTGGTATTATGTATAAATGCATGCCACTCTCTCATGTCACCCCAGCTTACACTTACCCCTCCCTGTGTCCTCAAATCCATTCTCTACGTCTATGTCTTTATTCCTGTCCTGCCTCTAGGTTCTTCAGAACCTTTTTTTAAAATTTATTCCATATATATGTGTTATCATATGGTGCTTGTTTATCTCTTTCTGACTTACTTCACTCTGTATGACAGTCTCTGTGTCCATCCACCTCACTACAAAACACTCAATTTCGTTTTTTTTTTATGTCTGACTAATATTCCATTGTATATATGTGCCACATCTTCTTTATCCATTCATCTGTCAATGGACACTTAGGTTGCTTCCATGTCCTGGCTATTGTAAATAGAGCTGCAGTGAACGTTTTGGTACATGACTATTTTGAATTATGGTTTCCTCAGGGTATATGCCCAGTAGTGGGATTGCTGGATCACATGGTAGTTCTATTTTTAGTTTTTAAAGCAAACTCCATACTGTTCTCCATAGTGGCTGTATCTACATCCCCACTAACAGTGCAAGAGAGTTCCCTTTTCTCCACACCCTCTCCAGCATTCATTGTTTGCAGATTTTTTGATGATGGCCATTCTGACCAGTGTGAGATGATATCTCATTGTAGTTTAGATTTACATTTCTCTAATGATTAATGATGTTGAGCATTCTTTCATGTGTTTGTTGGCAATCTGTATATCTTCTTTGGAGAAATGTCTATTTAGGTCTGCCCATTTTTGGATTGGGTTGTTTGTTTTTTTGATATGGAGCTGCATGAGCTGCTTGTCAATTTTGGAGATTAATTCTTTGTCAGCTGCTTCATTTGCAAATATTTCTCCTATTCTGAGGGTTGTCTTTTCATCTTGTTTAGGGTATCCTTTGCTGTGCAAAAGCTTTGAAGTTTCATTAGGTCCCATTTGTTTATTTTTGTTTTTATTTCCGTTTCTTTAGGAGGTGGGTCAAAAAGGATCTCGATGTGATTTATGTCATAGAGTGTTCTGCCTGTTTTCCTCTAAGAGTTTGATAGTGTCTGGCCTTACATTTAGGTCTTTAATCCATTTTGACTTTATTTTTGTGTATGGTGTTAGGGAGTGTTCTAATTTCATTCCTTTATATGTAGCTGTCCAGCTTTCACAGCACCACTTATTGAAGAGGCTGTCTTTTCTCCATTGTATATTCTTGCCACTTTTATCAAAAATAATGTGACCATATGTGAATGGGTTTATCTCTGGGCTTTCTATCCTGTTCCATTGATCAATATTTCTGTTTTTGTACCAGTATCATACAGTCTTGAATACTGTAGCTTTGCAGTATTGT